GCTCCTGCATTGGGATTTATCATTCAGCAACAAGTATTCATCAGGCAAAGACTTTAATGATGCAAAGCTATAGAATTAAAAACATGCTTCATGGAAAAGTAATTCCCATCAAACAAATCCCATAATTTACTTCTAAAGTTAATGCTATAAGCCTTGGTTACAGAAAGAAGTATCAATAAGGGAAGGGAAAGTGAACAAGACACTGTGCGACTGAAGTCTGGAATTAGAAAGCATATATCCAAACAAGTGTCGCTAGATCAATCAAGATTAGCTTTCCTATTTTAACTCGATAACAAGTCACAATAAATCGCATGTATGATATAAAGACATTAAAGCATACCTTTGTTTGGTCGGAGTGCCTCTTTGTCACTGGATGCCTCATCGAAAGTTTTTTCTTCTAGTTTACTTAATGAACTATCTTCATTAGGACTAGAATTGAGTATTGGCTTATTATTTTGCGGTACTGGTACCTCTGGAATATCAATTATTTTGCTTTCTGAAACAGCATCAGATGGGCTTTGGGTCGGAGCTATACCATTTTGAATGGGAATAACTTCATTATCTGACTTTGTATCTGATTCAGTCGGTAAAGTAGTCCCATTGAAAGGGCGAGATACAGCCCCGGGTGATGGAGCTACAGGGACTGAAGTGGAGAAGTTTGTCTTCTTTGGATGGTCTTGAATAGTGCACGGCACCCATTTAAATACCAACATAGAACTATCTTTAAGAGCAATCCATTTTTTTTCCCTGAAAGCAACCACAGATAGGTTAATTAAAATAAGTGTTACGTGTAGTTTTGAGGCATAAAGCAAGTTAGAGATAAAAAGAAAGGATGAGGAATAAGAATTAACTGGCTTGGGTGAATAAAAATGTGAATACGAGCAAAAATAAGATAACAATATATAATACCAAGGTACTGATTAAAGAGAAAAAAGGCCATATTATAATGCTTACTTGTATGATAGGTTAAGACGACACTTTGGAATTATACATAGAGGGTAATAAGAGAAAAACTCAACTCATTTTAACAAAATAGTAGGTATGGTAGTAGCTTATGGCGACCTAGAGCCATTCAGAAGCAGGTGGATTTCTTTAAAAACAGCCATTAAAGGGAAATACTTTTTCCAGTCTGTATTTGAGGTGACAAAAAATTTGGGCTACATAACGAGCAGAATATTTTCCTTGTGAAATTTTTTGCCCAAGCATTGGCACCTACTCTGATTATCGGCCTATCGTCAATATTTATAAAAAAATCAGAAAGGTGAATTCATCAGAAAAATTAGAACCAGTCGTATTGAGACCGATTTCCACAAGTAAAAAATTTAAGAAACCCGTCACAATGTTCGTTCTCTTTCCCTGATTTAGGCTACAGTTACCCCCTAACCAAGGCTATTCTATTTAGAATTTAGAATTCACATTCAATTTTCTTTTCTAAGGGGAAGTTTCTCTGTACGTATACAATTGATTTTATTAATACAGGTTAATTACAAAGTAATTTATCTTGTATATTTTTAGGTAAAATATAAACATCGCTATATGATTTAATGAAAATTCGGCAAGTATGAATAACAACTTACCATCTTCTGACTCTTTCGCTGGATTTATTTACACGCCTAAGATCCTCTTTTGCTCGACTGCGTGTTTCTGCACGCAAGGATCGAGAGAACATAATTAAAGAGAGGGTAGAAGAGAAAGAAATCTAGCGGCTAATAAAGAAACAACTTAAACGGCGTATTACATAAAAACTCAATAAGCAAAATAACACTTAATGTAAATAATTTATTT